TCGTTGTTTTGATTTTACGTTACACCTGATCTTGTAATGTGATTGGTCAAAAATCATGTGATTGCGCTCTCCCATTCACCACCACTAAATTACTATATAAATGCCGTATGTTATATAGGTGCCGTATGTAGTATAAGTGCCATATAATATTTAGTAACTGGGCAAAATCACCACCCAAAAAAGTTTCAAAAATCATGTAATATTATTAATTTATCATGATTAGGATCATGGTAATAATATTAATTTATTTAGTGATTTATTTCTTTGATTCTTTAAAATGAAAAGCGATTGTTATAATCTCAACAAGCAAGTAATTCTTTTGAAGGCATAAAATTCAATAAACACAATATTCTAAAAATTTATATCAATTGCCATAACAAATTTTCACTAATAAAAACAAATAAAATTATAAAAACTAATCAAGAAAATGTAATTGCGCCAGAAAACCTTGTAGACTTAAATTTTAATGCTCTTTCATAAGACTATAGCTCTGATCATTTATTGAGCAAAAGGTTTTTATATTTCTGAATCCAGAATGCAACAAAAAAATTATTGATAAATCCAAATAGTAACAAATGACTCGATAATATTAGATCTATTACATGAATTAGAGGAGAATTATAATCATTTTAAAAGGCAATGGTATTCCAAATGCTTAGAAAAACTGTAGTCATAATACTTTCTGGCTATAATAAAATATTATGTTTATTGAGTTTATTCGAAATAAACAAATGCTTATCGGTATCATTTGTTAGTCTATGAATGTTTTTCGTTTATATTTTTTTTGTTCAAGTTACATGAATTTTTGGTGCTCAACATATTTGTAGCATGATATTCGTAACTTTTTTTAGGTGATGATTTATTCTGATTATATTATATTCATGTAATATGTAAGAATATTAAAAGTCTGGTTCAATCTTGTTTTGATCTGGTTTTACTGACTTGGTTATAAACTTGCTTTTAAACTAGTTCGGGATAGTATCCAGAATTCTGTAATATGTAAATCTGTAACTGATTATTTTTTTTTAAAATTGAATACTGATATTTGTTCTTACTAGACATTCTAAACATCTTGTTTTCTTAGCAAAACATGTAGTTTGACTAAATCAACAAGTAATGAGTTTATTTTTTCTAAAAGAAGTATGAAAGCAGATAATTTAAACCCTTTATTATACGGAGTAAAAAAACTAATAAAGTTTGATGCAAAAATCATTCAATTTTTATTATAGCCATTTGAACAGGTTTGGACTAACAAGAGGAACCATCAATGTTGCACAACTAATCCAATAGGTTGAGAATTATTATCTATAACATTGAAAAATAATTTTTTTATAAACCACGCACCAGGTGAGTGATTAGTTATGCAATAATGGCGGTTCCTCCTATTATTTGGACCAGTTTTAAACTATATAATTTCTAAAAAAACCTGATCTGAACTTGGTCTTAATAAACTGCTTTACATCCCTGCATAAACCTTGTGGATTACTTTAAATCCCTACATAAAAGTACTGTATCAATATTTCTCCCAAGTTTTTTATTGGCTAGGATTTTTTGCTTTTAAGCATGACATCTTTATTAGGAATTTAATAAAAAAGTGATATATGACTACATATATAACTATATATTTCCAAAGTAATTTATGCTATCGCTATTAAAATAGTCAGAAAATTTGATCGATTCTTTTAAAATTAAGTTCAGGCATGATAAAACTTAAATTTTTATTTACAGGTTTAAACATGACAATTCTTATCTATCGCATTATTATAGTATTCCTTAAATACCTTGCATGTAAAACAGGAGTTTTGCTTATATCAATATATAATTATCTATATCGATATGTACACGTATCTATTTTTCAATTTTCAATAGCGATATCAAATTTTTAGCTATGGAAGCAAATGAAAATTTACGAAAAAGAAATATAGATTTGGTGGAAGAAATAGAAGATAGTTCAGAATTAGAAGAAGGATATACAACAAATAGTTCAAATGTACAAGGTTTGACTAGTTCAAATGTACAAGGTTCGACTAGTTTAAATGTACAAGGTTCGACTAGTTCAAATGTACAAGGTTCGACTAAAAATAAAAAACATAGACAGTTTTCTGAAATATGGGATTACTATATTAAAAGAACAGGAAAAAGTCACAGATATTATAAAGCTACCTGTTATTATTGTGTTTCTAAAAAATCTTGGTTAAGAGGAAAACCAGCAAAATTAGAAGCACATTTAGCAAATAAATGTCCAAATTGTCCCGATAATATATCACGATATTGGCAAGAAAAAGTAGCTAAAAGAAATTCTAATTATACGTGAAAAAAACAATTACTAGTACAAACACCAATAACATCTCATTTTTCATCTGATCGTCCATTATCAAAAGCTACAGTTAATCGATTTGATCAAAAAATAACTAAAGCTTAGGTGATGGCGGGAAAATTTTTTTAGTACAAATCTGCAAAAATCTG